TAAACCCGTCTTTTTAGGCAAGTAGGCCTACCATATAATGGGTGTCATGTCATGAAATGTTTTTAATACGACGGGAACTGTATTTAACGTGATCACAATCCATTAAAAACATTGTACGTTAGGCCTATTAATTGTAATGATTTCATTTCCACGGTTATTCAAGCAACGAATAAATGATATAGAGAAAGCGAGCAAAGAACACAGTATCAACTGAGCTTTTTGAAACTCCGAATCAGTTAAACCATTGAGTCGCAAAATGATTCAATGTTTCGAAGCGCTCCAATCGGATCGCGTATCGCGAATTATTTGAGTCGGGACTTCAGCCCCACCCCCCGGCAAATCGCACCCTGGTTACAAGTGATTTACGGGTTCCACGAGAAGAAAAAAGGGGATTGACACTGATTAGCAACTCATTCATACAGCAGCGACTCCAATACTGTATGTAAACTGTCGTATGAACAGGACGTTTTGTGAGTCACACTATTTGTAAATGTGTGAAACGTAGTGAAAGAATTCACGTGTAATGATGAGCTACAGAGTCTTGTGTTGAAAAAAAAAATACGATAATGACTAATACTATGTCCATATTACCAGCTGTACAGTAGGTGGCACTGTTATGGCACTAGCACCTTCAATGACACTTGGCAAACTGAACTACTGTATGTCTGAAATGAGTGGGTGTAGGATGAGAGCGAGTCGTGGTGTTGATCATAGCACTGGTCTACAGCAAAAGGCGCTAAGATTGCCTTCAGATGCTTGGTAGCAGGTGTTTAAGTACAGAGGTTGAAAGGGCAAAGATAGTTAGCAAATGCATTCTAGATCTAGGCTCTAGTTATTTATTAGCACAAATGTTTATTTAATTATTTTATTTTATGTCAAACACTAATGTATTATTGATAGCTTAAATAACTAGGACAAATCAACTAATTTGTACACAGCGCTGCTAAAACAGTGTAATTAGAGACTGACTGAATGTTTTAATGGGAGTTATTGCAGTGCCGTTTCATTTTTGAACAACAGGCAGTCATAGATGACAGTGAAGACTAATTTAGTTGAATAATGTGGTGCAGGGTCTATTGTGATGCACTGATGGGATATCACGACAAAGCATTCAGTCTTACTCATCATGACATGCTTGAAAATGACCCTCAATACAAAACAAGAGGCAAAAAATGATCTGCATTATTTGTCTGTTGAATCCGTATCACTCTATTGTTGAAACAACAAACAAATTATATGTTTGAAATAGCAAACAACTTTGTCACAACATAACCAACCTTGCCATATAAGGAGCTTGATGCAATAATTTCATAATAACAGCATTAATATAGCACTGTAGTTATTACACATTAGCATTAAGACAGCACTGTAGTTATGATTTTTGTGTTGCAAGATATTAGAATTAAACAAAGCTTAAAGTTTGCTGGTCTTGCAGGTTTTAGGAGGTTTAAGCTTGTCTCCCAGCCTAGTCATCAACAAAAATGCCCAGATCTCTCTAAAACCAGCAAAAGGACCAGCCAGGCTGGATACAAGTTAAGACCAGCTAATCAGGTTAGGCTGTTTTTTTTTTTTCTTACTCCCAGCAGGTTAGTGTAAATCAGGGTAATTACAGAATTAAGAAAATACATAAATGTCTGTTTTTTCCCCATATAATGTAGCACTGACGTATAATGTAGCTCTGGGAATGTAAATATAAAATTTTATATTATTATATTTTGTAGCTTTAAAAATGCTGCGATTGCAGAAGAGAAGACGAAATTCGCTCATTGTTTTTATTTCTGGCTGTACTGAAGTAGAAGCATTTCTGTTTTAACGCCTCAGTGGGGAAAAAAAATCGAATTTAATATAGGCCTATATAGACTGTTAACAATTCTTGAAAGCTTGCTAGCACAGACGGTCAGGACACAGTTGCCTTGGCAACAAATGACTGAAGCATAACATTCTCGCGCCGGAGCAGCGTTTGAACTTGTGTGGCTGAGCGAGAGCGAGAGCGGGAGCTTTTCCCGCTTCTCACCTTTCCCGCTCTCGCGCTGTTATGAGGTGAAGGGACTCGACGACCTAGCTGTTAATGGTGTGAAAATAAGAAACGAAACGATCAAACGCTTTCAACTGTATTTTTAGCTACAACGCGGACTGACGGCTGTCACCGCTGTTTCGGTAACTAAGGTTAGTGGTGAGTGGTCTGTGAGAGACAGAGATTTTCTCCCTTCTGTAGAGAAAATGTAGGCAATTTTCTTGTAATGCTTTTGAAGCAGTTTGAGGGAAAACAGTCTTATTTAGATTGTTGTGTCTTATAAAATCTTATTTTATTCATTACTTAAAACGTTATTTTAAATGTATTAAATGTGTATTATACTTTTTGACTTTCTCAGTTTGTGTAAATCCACATGGAGTTCAGAAGAAAATTTTTATCCAGAGTAATTTTACATTTGTCTAGTACAAATATGTCACTTTGTTTCATAATCAGGGTTTGAAATTAACACCCGCCAACCCGCCAAATGCGGGTAAAAATCAGCTGTGGCGGGTAACGCTGTCAAATCACTAGCCAATTTGGCGGGTTACTTTTCGTAAATTATGTTTACTAATTAATTTCTTGAGGAAGTTCATGTAAGCCAAATCTGCACAGATTTAGTGTAAATACTGAACTCGAGACTCATCATGATATATTAAATAAGCCTAATTGCGCAGCATCTGGGCATCTAGCTTACTTGAACATACCCAGCGATGTAGCTACTGGCCATCGGGAGCACCGGGACATTCCCGGTGGGTCGATCGCCGAAGCGAGGGAGACCTCATATTAGGCGCTGTTTTTAAATTACAGCCCACGCGAAACTGCAAAAAGCAAGTACTCCAAAAGTGTGAAGCGGCGCTACCGGGTGCATCCGCCAGCCGCGCGTTAAAGCAGAGCGGGATCAGTCTCCTGCACAGCGCTGCGCTTCCGCCACGATTTATAAGAGATAAACAGCACAAATCGCTCGATCCATTCAGAAATGACACAGAATTGTGTTATACAGTTGTGTGATATGACAACATTAAAGGTTCTGCCTGAAAACAGCCACGACAAGGTAAAATGCATGTAAACAAACTGCAATGTAAACAAACTTTAATAGCTTATTTCTCTTTAAATGTTTCATTCTAATTCATTTTAATTTAAGTAAAATGTTAATTCAGTAAGAGCCTGATTAAAGATAAAAACCAGTGTCTCTGTAATTTAGAGACACTTATAAATGAGGTGTTTTCCATTTACAAATATTATAAAGTTCTTAAAGAGATAGTTCACCCAAAAATTAAAGCTGTCATCATTTAGGCTACTCAGCATCATGTCATTCCAAACCTGTATGAATTTCTTTCTTCTGTGGAACATAAAAGAAGATATTTTGAGAAATTCAAGAAATGTCTGTCCAGACAGAAGAAATCAAGAGTAACCAAAATGGTTTGGTAACATTCTACAAAATATCTTTTGTGTTTTACAGAAGAAAGTAAGTCATACAGGTTTGGAAAGACATGAGGGTGAGGAAAGGATGACAGCATTTATTAGCAGTAAATTTCTAGCAATGTTCTAGCACAAAATCAATGCTTATACTGTCAAGTGCATTTCTATGTGACAAAAATGCAGTAGGCTATTAGTTTGTTGCATTTGCTGTGAATTCAGTAATATATCATTATTTGTTTTTGTCCTCATTTATTTATTTATTTACTTACTCCAATTGATGGCCCTATAACACAGCGAAACATTCACAGGGGACCTTGAGGGCCGGGTAGGCTGGATTTTTTTGGCTAGTAGAAATTATGAATGGCCGGTAACTTAAAAATGTAGTAGCCAAATTGGCTGGTGAGTGAAAAAGTTAATTTCAAACCCTGGTGACTTTTAAGTAAAAGTGTTGTATTAATTGTCATGTATAGCTTGAAGTTAATTGTAGCCATAATTTCTCTGTAACCCAAATAATTGTATTTCATGAAGTATTTTATCAAAAGAAATCACATAAGTTCATAAGATTTTTAATTATAGTACTATAATTTATATCGGGATCAGAGGGATGTGGGTGGGCAAGCCATGCAATGCCAGAGTAATGTAATGCCACAACTTACACATCAGTGTTTAGATCACCTTTTTTCATGATAAAATCAGTGTAATGGCAATATGTCCATCCCCTGAATGTAAGCTTTTCCATATTCCAAACTTTCCTGAAGCACTGGTGACTTCATGTGCCTGTGCGAGTCGTGAAAATTATGAAAATAAATCTAGGAATTATTGGAAATCAGTAGGGGTTGAGGCATCAAAAGTAACTATGTAACTAGCTGTTTTATGGATGGTAACTGTAATAATATTACTGAAATCCTATTAGTAATTAGTTACACTACTAGTTACTGCAAAAAGTAATATTATTACAGTAAATAGTTACTAGTAACTAGTTACTGCCCAACACTGATTAGTACAGTATATAATGAATACTAAAATAACATGCATTTAGCAGACATTTACATTTATGCATTTAGCAGACACCTTTATCCAAATTGACTTACAAAAGAGGTGGAACTAAGCAATTTGTCCATTTGTCAAAGAGTCAAAAATATTTGTAATAAGAACACAGTATTTGTTATTATAATAACAATAGTGTCCTGCAGCATGACAGCCAATACCTCAGCTCATAAAAATTAACAGTTTTCTTGTATAGTTTTCCTTTATTATTAAAATATTTAAAATGAAAACAGTTGTAATATTTAAACATTACAGTTTTAGTATATATTATAGTTGTATAGTTTCTGTTTTGCTTTGTATTGTATTGTTTTTATTCCCATTTCCTATTATGTTCCAATTTTCCCCAAAGGAACAGAAAATTGGAGTACAGGAAATTGGAAATTGTTTTGCGGTTTCTTATACGTAAAGCTGACATTTTGGCTGGACCTAATGTATGTGTTTATGTATAAAGAAGCCAAATATGCCTAGCATTGTTTGAGCACAATGTGACCATTTTTGTGTGTTTCCTTTTTGTCATCAGACTTCGTAAGGAGGGCTACACAGTGCAGGTGAATGTCAATGACTACCTGGATATCTACTGTCCTCACTACAACAGCAGTCAGAGAGGCGTTGCCGAGCAGTACGTGCTCTACATGGTCAGTTATCGTGGTTACCGTACATGCGACCCACAGCTGGGCTTCAAACGCTGGGAGTGTAACCGTCCCCACGCCCCACACGCACCAATCAAATTCTCAGAAAAGTTCCAGCGCTACAGCGCCTTCTCGCTCGGCTACGAGTTCCATGTTGGGCAGGAGTATTATTATATCTGTGAGTATAGTGTGCTTTACCTCAGCTATACAGACTTCCAAGTCTATTGTGACACAGCTATGTACATTATTATATTATAGTTTATGAATGTCAGGCAAGCTGTCCAGGACATGTCGATCAAAAAGAAGGCAATAAAATTATAGTTTAAGATAAATTATTATTTTTTTTTTGCATTTCTGAATTATATTCTATTTATTTTTATATAATTTTTATATAATCTATTTTATATAATAATAATTTATTATTATTTAGTCATTAAATATTGTTAAATAAATTTTTGATTTTGTGGTGGAAAATGATTTGGTATTGTTCTGTGCAAGATTCACCCATTTGTGAATATATTTTAACATTTTATAGCTCAGCTTATTTATATTTCTAAATCAGTAAGAGAGTAATAATTCATAATCCACATTTATGTATTATTATAACTGTACGTACACAGTGCTAACACTATACGCACTACTGCATCTGTAGGACCTTTTGTATGTAGTGTTGTATAAGTTACCATAATACAAAACAACAATGCAAGCTTTCTTTAGATACTACATACTTTTTATTTAATGCTTTATGCTTCTCTGTGTTCTCTGGAAGTACAATACTTCAGAATATTACAGTTATGGAACCTACGCAGTATTTCTGATGATTGACAGTTCACTGACATTTTGCCGTTTTATTTTAGCCACACCCACTCATCACCACGGCCGGAGCTGCCTGAGATTAAGAGTGCATGTCTGCTGCTCAACAGGTATCGACCTCTATCCATCCGTCTGTTCATCTATCCATCATTCCATCATGCATCCATCCATCCAACCTTTCTATTTTTCAGTCAATTGATCCACCGGTCATCCCATTTATGAAGTGCACTCAGTCCGTGTTTCTTTAACTCTTCTATCTGTCTTTCTGAGAATCAAATCAATCTGTTTACGCAGAAAGCACACTCTCTCCCTCTCTTTTCCCTCTAGGTTTCACATCTTAATGTTGTTGTTTGGCACACGTACCTCAGGGTTACTTGGATAGATTTTGATTTTGCTTTGTTAAACCTGCACTACCATTCAAAAGTTTTATTTTATTCAGCAAGGATGCATTAAATTGATCCGTAAACCATTTATAATGTTACAAAGGATTTCTATTTCAAATAAATACTGTTCTTTTGAACTGACAGTTCATCAAATATTAAATCAGCACAGCTGTTTTCAAATTTAATGATAATTAATGTTTCTTGAGCACCAAATCAGCATGTTAGAATGATTTCTGAAGCATCATGTGGCACATTTTTGAACAGTAGTGTATATAACAGAATTTGTGACATTAAAATAAAAATATCAAATTAAATCAATTTTAATAAAAAAAAAATATAATTTAAAAATGTGTTTGTTGAAATAATGTCAAGGCTGAATTTAAAAAACATACTAACATATATAAGGCTGTTGGAGTATATAAAACAGAAAAAAAGGTTGGGAAACCCCTCCTCCCCATCATTTCTTTCCCCTCTCTCTCTCACTCTTCTCTCTTGTTTCCAGGTGCTGTCAGGATTCATGTTCTCTCACAGTCAGTTTGCTGGCACTGAGTGTTATTTTAACCCCTCACCCTCTCTTTCTGTCAGTGCTCATGTTCATTAATAATATTCCAGTATGTAAGAGAGAGAAATAGAGAGCATACTGTGTGCGGTCTTAACCTCTGCCCTGTCTCTTGGAGTCTCTGAGTTCATGTGTCAAGACGAATCTGTTAGTCCTGCTCAGTCAGGTCTGAACTCCAGTGCCTTGAGTTCAAAGGGCTGATGTATTTATAAGGATGTGTAAAATTACATACTGATGAGTTGAATCAGGTGTGTTAGATTAGAGAGATAAAATGTGCAGTCATGGGAGGCCTTTAAGATCAAGATTGAGAACCACTGAGCTAAAAAAGTATGAAACAAAATGTAGTAGTTTTGAGATGCATTTTTAAAAGTTGGAATTTACGCTGTCTTAAAAAACACAACGTGTGTAATGAGACTCATAAAGAAGTTTAACATGCAACTTGTCTGTAATTTTTTTTTTCTTTATAAATATTATTTCCAAAAAATAATTAATTTGATTTTTACAGTGCAATTGTTCTGAAGTCAAAACTTATTATTAAAATACTATCTGACAAATTTGTATTTTCTGTTAAGCTGACAGAACATCTTTTTCTTCTACCCACTATTAGATTTAATTCAGATTTATTTGTATGTCAATTTCACAATAAATAACTAATTTATTTTACATTCACAATAAATGATTTTTTTTCACAATTAATGACAAAGTTTTACTTTCTGTTAAACTGACAGAATATTTTTATTTTTTTTCTAACCAGCATTAGACATTTTTTTTTAAATTCAAATGTATTTGTATATCAATTTCACAATATATTGCAAATTCATTTTATGTTCACAAAAATTTATGATTTTTTCAGCATTAAATTACATTTTTACTTTCGGTTAAACTGACAGAATATATTTTTTCGAATCACTATTAGAGAAAAAGTTTCAATATGAATTTATTTGTATATCAATTTCACCTTAAATTAAAAATGTATTTTATTTTCACAATAAATTATGATTTTTTTTCCCCACAACAAATGACATTTTCGCTTTCTGTTTTTGTTAACTATTAGGAAAAAAAAATAACTTCAAATGTATAATTTTCCCCCAATATATAACTAAAATAAATATTAATATTGTTTCAAAACAGATTTTTTTTAAATACCCAAACTATTCTTGGATGTATGTTGCAAAGAACAAAATGTTTATTTGTTTTTTTTTTCTCAAAACTATATGCAGATTTTTTTTAATAGTTCAAACTAATGGCAGTCAAAAGATAAAAAAAATCACAATTAATCATTATTTTCTTTAAAAGTGTCAAAGAAATTGTCAAATTTAATAAATGTTAAATCAATCAATCACTCAATAAATAAATACATAATACTGACACATCATTTTGATAGTCCAAAAAAATTGTATCAAATTTTCTGTGGGACACCAGTAAGTCAGCTGTTAGACAAGTAGTCGATTAGTGGGCCATTGTTTTGTGATTCATGTCCCATCCTTTTGCTGTATGTAGCCTGAACTGGGGACACTAACTACCACCATCACTTTCTCACCGCTGCATATGACCTAGAGGAGCTTACAAATAAATTCCAAATCCTTTGAGAGCATGTATAAGATCCTGCAGAGAGAGGGGGGGGGGGGTGTTCTGATTCTCCTTTCATGTCTTCCAGCCTCTGATTCAGATGATGAGCCCCAACCCACAGAGCCAGACTACACTCTAAGACCTAACATCAAAATCGATGACCTCGGTGAGTTACACACACACCAGACGGACCACACTGACACTTATACATATGCATATAAATCACTGACTAAGCTGACATTTGCACCCAAGGTTTCTGTTCCCAGATCTGTGGCATCCACACACCTCTTTCCTAGTTACGCAGCAAGCTCATAAATCATGCCTGTGCGTGTTAGAGCGTATTTATTGTTATAAATCAAATTGGGTACCAGGTTAAAAAACCAAATCCACTTCATGTGATTGGAATGTCTAATAAAAATGCATATGAGATCAACTCTAATTTGCTTTTCCTGTGCACACGGTGTACACCGAACAAACACAGCAGTTATCTGCTAGCACACATCTTTTAGGCAATGAGTGACATTAATGAAGCCACGAGCTAAAAGGCAAACGGAGCGTGAGCTGCCTGGCTATAGTTAGCTTGATTAGCACTGAGGCTAGTGTTAGCGCTGATTAGCGGTGGCAGAACTAGCCCTCCAGTTCCCAGCCTTACAGTCTCATCCTGCGCTTTCTCACCACCGCTGTAACCCGATTCAAGGACAGCGACGACCGCACCATTTAAATGAGAGAAAAGAAATTGATTTGACTTCAAGTGTTTTTAGGGAATAAAGAGGCATCGATCTGTTCGTGTTTTTTTTCCGAGCGTGTGTTTTGAGACAGATGGATGTGGATGTGTTTTGGGTCGTCTCTGGGTCGGAGCCACCCAACGATTTCCAATAACTGGAATCTGAGTACCGGCTCTCTCCCGCTTGCTCCGATCGGGGGTTCAGTTTTCAAACAGGCCAGAGAGGGGAAGAGAACAACCGCAAGAGGCCAGCCGAAGCCACACATCTCGGTACAGCTCCATACATCTGCGTCCAATAGACAAAAGAAACAGTATCGTCCTTGCTCACTGTTGTCCCGTTAGTATTGACCAACTTTAAGAACCAATGGAAATTATACATTTCTAAATTGCACACTAAACTTCTACAAACAAATCAAAAGATACTCACAAAACCGCCACAGGAAACTCTAGAGTGCTGCAAGTGCTTTTAAATTAAGTGCATAAACATTTTTTTCTTTTAATAATTTGGGGGAGTGTGTTCTGATTCTCCTTTCATGTCTTCCAGCCTCTGATTCAGATGATGAGCCCCAACCCACAGAGCCAGACTACACTCTAAGACCTAACATCAAAATCGATGACCTCGGTGAGTTACACACACACCAGACGGACCACACTGACACTTATACATATGCATATAAATCACTGACTAAGCTGACATTTGCACCCAAGGTTTCTGTTCCCAGATCTGTGGCATCCACACACCTCTTTCCTAGTTACGCAGCAAGCTCATAAATCATGCCTGTGCGTGTTAGAGCGTATTTATTGTTATAAATCAAATTGGGTACCAGGTTAAAAAACCAAATCCACTTCATGTGATTGGAATGTCTAATAAAAATGCATATGAGATCAACTCTAATTTGCTTTTCCTGTGCACACGGTGTACACCGAACAAACACAGCAGTTATCTGCTAGCACACATCTTTTAGGCAATGAGTGACATTAATGAAGCCACGAGCTAAAAGGCAAACGGAGCGTGAGCTGCCTGGCTATAGTTAGCTTGATTAGCACTGAGGCTAGTGTTAGCGCTGATTAGCGGTGGCAGAACTAGCCCTCCAGTTCCCAGCCTTACAGTCTCATCCTGCGCTTTCTCACCACCGCTGTAACCCGATTCAAGGACAGCGACGACCGCACCATTTAAATGAGAGAAAAGAAATTGATTTGACTTCAAGTGTTTTTAGGGAATAAAGAGGCATCGATCTGTTCGTGTTTTTTTTCCGAGCGTGTGTTTTGAGACAGATGGATGTGGATGTGTTTTGGGTCGTCTCTGGGTCGGAGCCACCCAACGATTTCCAATAACTGGAATCTGAGTACCGGCTCTCTCCCGCTTGCTCCGATCGGGGGTTCAGTTTTCAAACAGGCCAGAGAGGGGAAGAGAACAACCGCAAGAGGCCAGCCGAAGCCACACATCTCGGTACAGCTCCATACATCTGCGTCCAATAGACAAAAGAAACAGTATCGTCCTTGCTCACTGTTGTCCCGTTAGTATTGACCAACTTTAAGAACCAATGGAAATTATACATTTCTAAATTGCACACTAAACTTCTACAAACAAATCAAAAGATACTCACAAAACCGCCACAGGAAACTCTAGAGTGCTGCAAGTGCTTTTAAATTAAGTGCATAAACATTTTTTTCTTTTAATAATTTAAATAAAATTGGATTCTGAAGTCATTAGGAACATAAATTCTCATTTGCAGGATTCTTAATGTCAGGTCTGTAAATCTGCTGGAGCAGTTAGTCCCATTAATGGCAGTGAGTTTCACACTACGTTCAGAATTCATATTAGTCACACAAATACACAGGCAATCACAAATACAGATGCAATAAACACAAAGACAGCTTTTATTTGGCCTTTAGGGAGTAATACAGAGCAAGAAGATGTGTGTGGCATTGTATTCATGCCATTCTCTTTATAGGGTTTTTTTTTTTTTTCCCCAATAAAAACAAACCATTTCCATGTTGAATATCCTGAACTAACAATGAACAAAACATTTTCTTTATTATTACAACTGTTTTCTGTGTTAATATATGTTTGATATATTAAATATGTGTGCTACTTAATATTTTTGTGGAAACCGTGATACTATTTTTTTGTCAGGATTCGTTGAGTAGAAAGTTCAAAAGAACATTATTTATTTGAAATGGATTTTTTTAATGATGAAAAAGTCTTCACTGTCACTTTTGATCAACTCTTGCTGAGCCCAACGTTTTGAATAATAGTGTATACATTTTATACAATAGCAGAAGCTAATATATTATAAACAATCTTGAATTAACAGTGAACAACCGTTATTTATTAACATTAACCTAGATTAATGAATGCTATAAAAAATCTTGTTCATTGTTTTTTCTTGATACCTAATACACATTACCTTATGTTAACCTTATTGTAAAATATTACTGCGATATTCTATGAGATGCAAAGATCTTTGTGTCTCCTAATGTAAGATTTCACTTCCCATTTGGGTCATTGATAGGACAAACGTATCAAATTTCTGTGTAATCCGTTCTCCAGTGGCGAAAAATAACTTAACACTTACATCTGATTAGCTGATTAAAGTCACGGCAGTAGTGATTTAAGCAAACTTACAAGCTAGAAATGTCTGTTCGTCCGGCGGGTCATGAGATTGTATCTCTGTATGTTGGCACTGAGTGCTGAATTCCAGCATGTAAACACCATGTTCCAGAACATCCCACTCAGCTTCTCTCTCATGCCTGCCATCCAAGGATTCCTGTCAATCAAACATTGCTCAGCCATGGGGATAATAATGCACTTTCTTTGCACGCTGTCTTTTAAAATTTTAGTCTATCAGATATTATTTAATATACAAGTCTTTATTTAAAAAGAATATAAAAAGGAAAAATAAAGACTATTGAAGAAAATTTTAACAAAGATGTTTCATTATACATTTCTTATCATTATCATTGTTGAAATTCATTTTTGCTGATAAATGTTTTTGTGGAAACCATCATACACTACCATTTTTTTTTTAGAAAAACATATTAATACTTTTTTTCAGTAAGGATGCATGAAATTGATTTAAAAAAAAGGGGGGACAGTAAAGACATTCACTCATCTTTTATGTTAACAAAAGATTTCTCTTTCAAGTAAATGCTGCACATTGAGCTTTCAGTTGATCAAAGGATCCTGAATAAACAACAAAAAATGTTTCAATTTGTTTTTGAGGATAATAATAATAATGATAATAATAAGAACTATTATTAATAAATGACCAGAAAAACATATTAATACTTTTTTTCAGTAAGGATGCATGAAATTGATTAAAAAAAAAGGGGGGACAGTAAAGACATTCACTCATCTTTTATGTTAACAAAAGATTTCTCTTTCAAGTAAATGCTGCACATTGAGCTTTCAGTTGATCAAAGGATCCTGAATAAACAACAAAAAATGTTTCAATTTGTTTTTGAGGATAATAATAATAATGATAATAATAAGAACTATTATTAATAAATGACCACCAATAATAATCAGCATATTAGAATGATTTCTAAAGATCATGTGACACTGAAGACTTGAGCAGTGGCTAACTTTGCCATCACAGGAATAAATAACATTTTAAAATCTATTACAATAGAAAACTTAAATTGTAATAACACTTCACAAGATTAATTTTTTTTTTAGAAAAACATATTAATACTTTTTTTCAGTAAGGATGCATGAAATTGATTTAAAAAAAAGGGGGGACAGTAAAGACATTCACTCATCTTTTATGTTAACAAAAGATTTCTCTTTCAAGTAAATGCTGCACATTGAGCTTTCAGTTGATCAAAGGATCCTGAATAAACAACAAAAAATGTTTCAATTTGTTTTTGAGGATAATAATAATAATGATAATAATAAGAACTATTATTAATAAATGACCACCAATAATAATCAGCATATTAGAATGATTTCTAAAGATCATGTGACACTGAAGACTTGAGCAGTGGCTAACTTTGCCATCACAGGAATAAATAACATTTTAAAATCTATTACAATAGAAAACTTAAATTGTAATAACACTTCACAAGATTACAATAATACATATAATTTATAATTTTTTTAATAAAAATATTTTGAAAAAAAAAAGAATAATACTAATACTCATTGTTAAATACTGTTGTAATAAATATTTAAATTAAAGGGTTAGTTCACCCAAAAATGAAAATTATGTCATTAATTACTCACCCTCATGTCATTTCAAATCCGTAAGACCTTCGTTCATCTTCGGAACACAAATTAAGATATTTTTGATGGAATCTGAGAGCTGTCTGACCCGGCATAGACAGCAACACAACTGAAATGTTCCCAAGTCCAGAAACGTAGCAAGGAGATCTGTAAAATAATCCATGTGACATCAGGGGTTCATCCGCAATTATACGTAGCTACGAGAATACTTTTTGTGCAGAAAAGAAAAGAAAAATAACGACTTTATTCAACAATTCGTCTCCTCTGCGTCACCCTGGTGCCATTTTGGAGAGTATCCACTGAACGCAAACAACGTATGCTGTTGTGTTAGCTGCACCACGCGGATACGTTTTCTACGTCGTTTGTGCTTTGATTTGAACGAAAACAACGTATCCGTGTGGTGCGGCTGACACAGAACCACATACGCTGTTTGTGTCCAGCGGATATTCTCCAAAATGGCACCAGGGTGGCGCGGAGGAGAATTATTGTTGAATAAAGTCGTTATTTTTCTTTTCTTTTGCTCACAAAAAGTATTCTCGTAGCTCAATATTACGGTTGAACCCCTGATGTCACATGGATTATTTTACCGCTCTCCTTGCTACGTCTCTGGACTTGGGAACATTTCAGTTGTGCTGCTGTCTATGCAGGGTCAGACAGCTCTCAGATTCCATCAAAAATATCTTAATTTGTGTTCCGAAGATGAACGGAGGACTTATGGGTTTGAAACGACATGAGGGTGAGTAATTAATGACAGAATTTTCATTTTTGGGTGAACTATCCCTTTAATGCTATCTGTGTAAAAGGTGATAAATGGAAAATTGGCACCCCAGACGTGTCTGGAACACCTGTCACATCTTTTGTCTGTGTGTTACAACATCATATTATTCTGTCAAAACACACAGACATACTGTGCGTGTCTGGAGATGTTTGTGGCAGACAATTTGCGTCACACACTATTCTTTGTGAGTGTGACCTGTAAGTGAAGACGTGTGTTTATGAACTTGTCTATCACAAAGTTTGCGAGCTGGAAGACACCTGCTCACAGTCACAGACGCCAACAAACCGGTTATGTTAGCTGTCTGTCTCCTGTGATGATGTAACAGAATTCCATAGATTATTTGGGCACATTTGACACTCCTCTTGTAATAGTTGCATTTTAGTTTGTTGTGTTCACGATGAAGCCGGTCTACAACTGCACACGAACACAGACACCTTCAGTACATACCTGACTGAGTCACTGCGTTTTATTTTTAACTCCTTCCCTTAGGCCTCAGTTGTTAAGGCCTTCCCTGGGCTTTCTATACCTTAGTGAGTCACGCAACATTAGTGTCTAGACCTAAGCTGTTAATTTTGTTCTGTCTGTCTCTTTCCAGATGACTATGATAATCCAGAGGTCCCCAAATTGGAGAAGAGCATCAGCGGTAGCAGTCCATCCAGAGATCGCCTTCTCCTAACCGTGGCATCACTTTTCCTTATCGCCCTTTCAGTCTCCTAGCATCCACCTCCTAACCGTCGCCATACCAACGAGGCCTTGGGGGGGACTAGGAAAGAAACTGGAAATGGAACACTTGATGCTGCAGCAGCTTACGGAGTGTCAAGCACCAGCCCACAATTCAACAGTGGTTTTCATGTCTTACAACAGCGACACACTTTGCGTGTCACGCAGACAATACGAATACACTATAATGAGAACTGTGCCATTTCAGTTACAGTAGTGCGGATTGTTTGTGTGTGTGTGTGTGTGTGTGTGTTTATGCATTTGTGTGGCGCCTTCGGTGCTTGGGGGCGGAGCGGATCTTTACTTCGGTCTGAAGGTTTGATGGCTCCATTATCTGTGAATTGGCAGGTTAAAAGTTTAAAAGCGTCTCAGATTCTGTTTGATGAGAACTGAAATGAAACCGTCGAGGAGTTCAGGTTACTCGAACCCAGAAAAAAACAAAACAAACAGAAGCACCGTTTAATCCAATTCCAAAAGTATTTGTTTCTCTTTGTGTGTTTCTGTTGCCAGAGAGATGTACAAACCGCTGGATGATCATGTAATTGCCGTCAGGGATGAAGAGCAATATTCATTTGATGAGTTTAAACAAGTCTATAATAGAAAATGATCTCACAGACTTGAAATCAACTAATTTTGGACTTTTCTATTGACAATACGACAATTTATAAAGCATTAAATTCCAATTACATCTGATTCTTATTTGGACTTATTGTGGTCGCACATGAAAACAGGGGCCGATATGGTTGTTCTGTGATGCAGAAAATTGAGACAGAAGTGATTTTGCATGAGCGCCAGCACAAACGCATTAAACACATTTACAGAATTTACAGACAAACAGAAGCCAAATAGCTTTTTTGTTGTTGTTTTCTTTCCTTCTGCCTTTTGATAAAAGGTGCTTGAGTGAGTGAGCAAGTGCAAGCGTATGTGTTTGAGTGCATTAGCTCAGTGATGCTGGAAAAATCTCCTCTAGACTTTATGGACTTCAACCGGAGGTGGACACCTACACAGACACTGTACATAAATCACATGCATTTATTTATGTGTGGACATTGTGGACGACCTCCGCTCATTTGTTCGGACCATGCTGATTCCCGCTGGATTTGGAAGAACTCCAAACCAGCTTTGGCAGGTTCATTCCAGTTTGAACCAGTTCCACTTATCGCTGCTTGCTACTTGACATTTTTCAGTGGTGATCAGCAAGACCAAACGGAAATTGAGGGGTCTGGTGGTTATAATCCGTTTCTACGGCAACAGTTATTCATCTATACACACACCTAAAGGCACTAGAGTCCAGCAGGAAATCAGAACAACACACAAAAAGAAATAACAGCTATTACTGGCGACACTTTTGCCAAGAGTAATACAAGCAAACAAATGCTTCGGGGCATGTAGTTATTGCATTCTTGCGAGCTTTTCAAGGGATAAACGGCAGTGTATGCATCAATCATTTTACAAGGTTCAAAATTAAGATTCTAACTCTTTTAGACTAGCACCTTATCACGATGGCAATGACATCATATCACGGCTCATGATGATGATAGCAGCAACCAGCGCCGCTTTTCGCCCTAGAGACAAGCAAATACTGCTTAAACTAGTAATGGCATGTGGTTTAGGAGAAATGATGTGTGGTAGAAGTTTTCTAACGTAGAGTCATAATGGACACCTTATCTCACACCTACAGGCTGTCTTTAACATATTGATTAAGCTGTTTATTGCATCATTCCGCTTTTGCTCTGAAAAATCATTTCAATTTATGTGGAACATTACGTCTGCTTTATATTCCATTACTATGGCTGCTGTGGTTTCACTGATCTAGAGCAACTTCAGAACAAATGAACACTAATTTGAATGCTCAGAATGATACTTTACAGACTTGAATCTACATTTAATTTGTTTCATGTTGTCATAAGGCGTTGGGTTCAGAATAAGTAGGTTTTTATGCTTTTGGGTTTTTCAGGAGTTTGTTTTTCTGATGGAATAATGTAATATTTCAGAAGAGTCAATCAGGCAAAGTGTCACTCTTCAAATGTTGCACTTACAAAACTTGGACACGAGAATTGTGCGTGTGTGTTAGAGACTGCAATTGTTAGAACTTGACGTTTGTCTTAAAGCTAGCCTAAATAACCTTTCAGTGTGTGTGTGTGTGTGTGTGTGTGTGTGTGTGTGTGAAAGAATGAGAGATCAAAAGGTAATAAAGATAAAGGACGGTGTGAATGTGTGTGTTTATGCGAGTTGTTTTCCATTGTTTAGTCTAGGCATTTTCTGTGTGAGTGGGTGCGAGTCAAAGAAACTGTTGTTTTGGAGGAAACAAAAGCATTTATTAGTGTTGGAAACAACCGAATACAATCATCTTTACCTTCAACTGGAATGAATTTAAAGAACTTGGAAAAAAAGAAACTGTAAACTGAACAAACCATAACAAAGCTTATAATGATAATCATCATGATACAAAAACATTAAGCCTTTGATTCATATTTGTTACAGACACAACAACATTTTTTTATGAACTCATATGTTTGGGTATTGAAATGTCCTTCTGAATTTGATCACTGTCAGTGGAAACCGAAGGACTAATCTAATAAGAGTACACAAACATCATCTCCCCCTCACTCTGACTTCCCATCTCCTCATGAAATGTAGTTTCAGGTTTCCCACTGCTGTCATCAAAAACAAGCCATTCTTTACCAATCTCGCAATCTCTTGTATTTTGTGCACTCCATCATCTCTTTCAAATCTATTATCATAGTGTCAGTTATCTCTGCACAGTGTGTAAGAAGCAAGCAGCACATAGATGAAAGGATTTCTAGCAGAGGCTGACCTGATGCTGAAACCATCTTATCTAATCACTGCTACATGAAGATATTTCTACATATCAAACAACACTGTTGGGCACGGGATGTCACTTTTTAAAACTGATACCCATCCAAGCAATTTTTAGATTCTTTTGTCTGCTGGTGCTAACTGTGAGCAAGGTTAGCCTACTTATACCTCTACTATAGACTTGAAACAGAATTTCAATAATTAAAGTTTTTAAGTTTTTTTTTTCAGCCCTAAAAATAAATTTGATGAAAATCCTTTTTTCTCTCTCAAATTTTATGCTGACCCCTACCACCCTCTTGTTGGGTCTATTGGGGGTCCCCGGACTCCAGTTTGAAAACCTCTGTCCTAAATCAATGTTTTTCGACCTGGGATGTGGACGCCTATGCTTCGTGTTGTAACTGCAATGGGTGAATAAAATCATTAAAAAAAAAAAAAAGAAGAGGAAGAGTAGGCAGTAACATACATACATATGTCATATAGAGGCATTTGCATTTTAATAATTTGTATTTATTTTGTAAATGTAAGAACTGACGATATGGCAAAAGATAGGTCAGCGCAGTGCAGTATTGCCAATTTAGCGACTTTTTCAACGCGCGCTATTAATAAACAGAAGGTCGTGGTCGGTTGGTGTTGGATGCTAATCTGTCGCTATAATTATCCATATGGTTATCGATTCTGATGTGAAGGAGCATTAACTCTAATAGTTACTGAGGATAACGAGGCAGAACAGATGTTGCTGGATTGAACTACAATCGTTTGATTGCTTTTTTTTTGTTTGTTTTTTCATCTTATTAGAGTGGCGTTTAATTCAGCGCGACATGTCGAGACAAAACTCGTACATGACTGACGTTCCGTTGATTACTCTGAGGCTCGGCGCGTGAGTAAACCGTCTGAACACACTGCAACAATAACGGCGATTGATCCCCCCAGACACCCGCTGCTTTCTGCTACCGGTCACAGAGAGCAGACGCTGACCTCATCTGCTGCGGGAAAAGGACAAAGACGCCTCGATAAATCAAATGATGGAGCTAATGAGTAAAATCTTCCGTGTTAAACAAAGCAGAGCAGTATAATGGTGTAGACAGACCCACATCTGAACATCTGTATGTGGTGTGATTGTTAGTTTATGTAGGAAAACCTCAGTAACAACCATGCAATAGCTACAAAGTTTCCTCTAAATGACCACAGTTATTTGGAGGAAGTAAAAAGGAGTCTGTTAGCATTTCATCTCTATGGGGGTTAATCACTGGTGCAGGATCTGAAGGTAGGCCTAACCATCTTTGCTTAGGCTATATGGCTGTTTTGGTAAATAAGATAAATAATTCTACTGACCATTTTTGATTTGATAATGTAATGTGATCAGGCTTTTAAAGAGATAGGCTAATTCATCCCTAAATGAAAAATGTCATCATTTACTCACACTCATGTTGTCCCAAATATTTATGACTAAACAAAGAACTTATTTTGAAGAATGTTTCTGTCCATACACTGAGACTCAAAGGGTTCCAATGTCTTATTTGTTCCATAGAAGACAGAAAGGCGTAGCCTACAGGTTTGGAACAACATGAGGGTGAGTAAATTATGACAGGAATTAAATTTTAATAAATTATTTAAAAACATTTCAGGGTTCCTATACGCAGTTTGGAAAAGAATGGAAAAAAGAAAGCAGAGTATGGAAAAATATTTGCAATTCCAGACTTTTGCTCCTATTTAGTTTTCTATAACGGAACATTATAAATTTAATGAGAATAAATGTATCATACAAGAAGTGTGTTTTTATGGCAGCTGTTTAGTGATTCTTTAGTGATTGTCAAATACAATTGAATGAATTCAAGATGCACTTCATTATGCAAAAATGCAGGTTATATTGCAGGTTTTTCTCAGGATTTACTTAGCACCATATTACAGAGCCTCTAAAAGGACCTTTGCAAAAATAAAAAATATACAGACTTTCGTGTGTGTACAAGAAACCATTAAACTTAGCATATAGGACAGTGCACACTGATCCATCTATTGTGCCATCAGCCCATTTCATGGTGTGGTTTCTTGGCTGCCACAGAGTAGGCTATGCATTAAAGCAGACATAAGGCCTTGAAATATGACGTACTGCCCTAAGGAAAGCAAAATTTTGAGCAAATAGATCTCTAATAATTCATGTGCGTCCATGCTCTCGTTTTCTTATAGTAAGATGGCAGTGATGCACAATGGAAATGGGTTATAGTATATAAAACTAGAAAATGCACAAAATATTCCCGTGCGCATGTGAATAGTTTCTCGAGGGCACAAAAACTTTCTTGTTTGCATGCAAATGTCTGTCTGTATGTATGTATGCAAGAAAATCAATGAAAAAACCCTGAGAAAATAAAAATATTTACAGATGACTGTACTATATACCAAATATAAAGCTAAAAATAATGCTGTATGAACCATTTATGTTTAATTTGGTCTGAAAATCTACTGAGAGGTTTGGAAATTTGAGTCTGGAAAAGTATGGAATTTTTTTAATGGAAAATGTAGGAACCCTGCCATTTGTACTATGCCAAGTATCACGCTGCAAATATAGCATGTTGAAATATAGTAGTCCACAGGTGTCACGGCGACATTATTTGCCTCATCAAGATGTAAAAGATTGGATTAGATAGATTACATAAAACTATATCCTCACCTTCTGATCATGCTGAGCATTGGTTAATACCGTTACATCATTTAATCAGAGTGAGAACAGCGAGATCAATGTGTTCTACCACCACATACAACAAAGAACACCATTTTATAATTAATAAATTCTATAAAACAGTTTGTTCTGGCCCTTTTTGTTTGGCCGTCTTGTGATCACAGGCCTCAAAATAGTGAAGTCAGATACTCAGACATTAGGGTGCAGTTTAACTTTACGACCACCAGGTGTCTCTGTTTCGTCTAGTACATTCAGATTTATCATATTGCAGATAGTTTTTCCTAATCCATAAATTAATCCCACTGTGTCTGTTGTATAAGAGGTGATGTAGGCAGGGCAGGACTTAAGGGGCCGGGGGCCCCTGGGCTTGAGGTTATGTTTGGGCCCTATACCTATACACTACAAATGCCATCAACTAGAACATCATTATGAAGTAGTAACACAAAATAGACAAAAATGTAAATATGCTTTGAGGTTCATAAATAGTACAGTTAATATGCAACCTGTCTAGCCTAGACAAAGTTTAGATGTAATATTAAATAGTCATTATAATACAATAAACAGGATTTGAGATCTCAGCTGAGAGATCAAAACCCTGAAATTTCACTGAGAAAAAAAAGACTGAGATGTATTAGTATTATAAAAAAATATTGTCATAGCCTATATGTGTCCTCTTATGTCAGATTCTTAAATTTAATCAATAAATTCAATCCGAATAAAAAGACATGTCGGCTATTAACAATCAAATGAAATCCCTATCAACAAAATCGGTTCTGCTGTTTGTTCTATTTTGTTTTTGACGAAGCAAAATGGAATTTGGTGTCTAAAAGTTACTCAGTAACTTGTTATTTATTGTACATTGGATCGTGCAGATATTCGGAAAAGCAGGACTCTTGTCTGTGTGATAGGCTAACTCCTATAGGCATATGTTATAAAAACAGAAACTCATTAAATGGCTATTTTTATTTTTTTTTATCATTTTGATGACATTACTGCTCCATTATGTGTTATGGCAGTGAAACGGGAGAGAGCACTCAAAACTCTTCAGATTGCATAATTTAGTGGAACATTAATATAATATAGAAACATCCTCTGTAAAGAAATGAGGCGTGAACATATGTGAATTTATCATTATCTTTCTAAATGTGCGCTCTTTTGGGCTAAAGTCTTAATGGAGCTGTTTAAAGTAGCCATGCGATGACAAATTAATCGGCACAGTCGCGATTCAATACGTGTGTCCTTCTATGTGAAATAATCATAAATACCAGTTTATGCTGTTTGATTATGGCCTCGAAGGTCGTAGTTGGAAGCTGTTAGCCCAGGTGGGTCGTTTAGCCCTTGCGTGCACAGTGGAAATGTGGCTAATAATTTCTGACTTGCATAACTGCACAAATCAAACAAACGGAAATGGGCAAAGGCGGGGCCCATGGGCTGCAGCCCAGTCAGGCCCAATGGTAAATCCGGCTATGTAGGGGTCTGGGATTACACTGTCTGGATTGAGTCTAGTAGGATATGATATAATGTGTGAGACAAGCACAGTGATGGTTTAACACAGGCACGTTTTCACGTTATGATGATAGAATTTTCATATTTTGATGAACTATCCATAGGGCTGGACGATATGGCCAAAATTGATATCATGATATATTTCTTAATTTCGGTCGATACGATATAATTCCGATATCGATATGAACACTATTTATCTGAAATAGAAATCTTTTGTAACATTATAAATGCCTTTATCATCACTTTTGATCAATTTTAAGCATCCTTGCTAAATAAAAGTATAATTTCTATAATTTCTTTCCC